GTACAACGAAACGAGACTGCGACAACACAAAAGGCCACACCATCTTGGTCTTCGTACTTATTTTTAGTTTTTCAGTATGCTTTTGAGACTACCAATAAATCAGATATATGAGGTTTGTTCACCCTACCTCGTTTAGTATGATGAATGACTGGTAGTCCTGATGAGACGTTGGCGAGATCTAAACTTCAGGTCATCCTGGATGGAATATCTTTTGGGAATTAAGGCAATGTGAAATTCAATGAAATGTGAGGTCTCCTAATATCGTTATGGGAAAATTCTATTACCGGTCCTTCATCACCTTAAATAAAATAAGGTGAACATACTTCATCTATTTTTTCTAGTTATTTATCGTCCCTTGTACAAGACGGTGAAACCTGATGCTTCAACGCTCTTATTCGTTGATGATAACGCAAAGCTATGTTAATGTAATAACCCTGTTCGCCCTTATGCCACAGATCTCTTATGGACTGTCAATGTATCTCTTATTCAATACCTCTTTATTGTGGAATCTTGCGATTCGTTTGCTTACTATGTCTGCCCTCCTAACTTCGATAAGGTCATTCATTTTGCTTGTAGTTCCGAATAGTCTTTATAGCATTCTATCAAATTATTTCTCCCAGTTCATTTTTAATTTTTTAGACTCTTCTTATCATCGCCTACCCTCCCACTGTCTCTGACAGGCCTGCAGCCACCAAGAAGCTCCGGTTGCAGATCTTCTCGGCTTTGATGTTCCAAGCATTTACAGCAGTAACGCAAACGCCCCAAGAGCTGACGACTTTACGGGGATCTCTGCTGACCAAAGCGCATCAAACCTGGTGTCTTCCCATACCAAAGAAGCGGCTGCCACTAATGCGGAGGAAACGGAGACGACCAAGTCTAATTTTGCAGTAGGCGATGACCACAAGCTGATCCAGGACTTTGTTCTGCTAGACCTTGGTGAACCTGACGGTTCAAAATCCTTTGATGGACGCGAAGAAACCGCCAGTAGATTGTCGGTTAATGAGGACGTGGCTGAAACTAGACCATTTGACTTTGACTTGCTGGGCGGTAACTACTTTTTCACTGATGTGGCATCTGCTGGAGAAGAAAAGGTAAGCCTTCTTGTTCATCAGAGTTAACCTAGGAGGTTAGTCTTTTTTTCTTACTATTATATCAACTTGAACCCATATATGAAGCAAATCCACTTGAGTAAAGTTAAAGACGGATTAATAATATCATAATAAATGGGTAGGGAATTCGGGGAGAGGGGATAGTGATGACTGCGAAATCCTTCTTCTGAATACAAAGAAGTGTTATTTAGTCGTAAATTTAAGGATCACGATTTTGGAGCCGGTCTTGGTGGGACTGTTATACACGAGCTATCATTTATTTTTGGAAGACAATGTGAGTATCTCCTGTGGTATTGCGAGTACGGCTTTTACAATTGAGTAAAAGTAGTTTATACATTTAGGCATGACTCGTATTGCCAAGGTCAGTATAGAGAAGCTGATAGAGGTTGAGAGGAAGAATCATTCTTTATCCATAAACCTGGAACATAATTGGAAAAATGACGATAAATATTACTACATCCCGCCAAGCATCATTTTGGGTATATTGGACAATAAGAATCAAATTACGGTAGGGATGAGACTTTGCCATATGGATAAGAATCAGGGTACATCGTCATAAAATAGGCAATAAACTAGGACCTGTGGGGAGAAATTCCACAACCTCTCAATACTGAGTTGCTTAAGAATATTGGTCTTAACAATTTGTTCTTCAGTGTTAAAATACGATATCGGATAAATGTCTGGGAATGTATTCAATTAAAGCAAGCGAGGCCTCTCCTATCCCAAATTTAATAGTAGAACGGTCGATTAACCAAAAATTTATTTATCACTGCAATTGACGATGTTACCTAATTTCTATATGAGTGGCTTTCCACACTATTAGTAATTATGGAATACAAACTCAACCTAATTCACTTAAGGTGACTTGAGGCCTGGTAGTTGTGTTTTTTAAAACAGCAAGATGAACAGACCTCATGAAGCTATTGAATTTCACTTATACCTGATTCCATAAAGTTTCTCTCGCCAAGGGTGGACTAGACTGGACTGCAGCTTTGATCTCTCTTAATTCTTTTTAGCTCCCCTAGTGGGATTCAATACGGGTTCATATTTATCTTTTTTACTTCATTAAATTGCCACGGGTACCGATGTGCCATAGAGCAGATTTCGAAATTAGGAATTTCTGATAGTCTCAGAAACTACTTATGTCGAATATAATTAACGCCCTTAATTCCAATGGTGAACAAATACTTAATGTTGGAGTTCCTTTCATTTCGTTTGAAGAGGTGAGTGGAATGAACTCGTAAGTTGGTCCTGCCGGAAATCTATTAAGGGATTCTTCGAAAAACAATTTTTCTACATATATTTACTTAATAGTCAATCCCACTATTAAATTGATTTAGAAGAGTCCTGGCTGCTTTGAATGTCGTGTCTGCCCTCTGATTAGCTGGCTCCCATGGCCATGTATGAGATGATTGTCACGACCTTACATTGGATCCCACTAGGGGTTCTGATGAGACCTAGGCGAGGTCGAAACTGCAGTCCGCCCTTAATGAGTTAAGGTCTAGGGAGACAGGACTAAGTGAAATTTAATGGCATCGTGAGGCCTACTCATCTGATTGTCATAAAATTCAACCTTCAGTTCTTAATTTTTCTTAAACGAATCAGAGTAACTAATGTTCGTTTTAACTTGTTCGTATTGTCAGGGAAACCTAGGGCAACGTACCTTGTCCGGAGACCATAGTATAGATGATAGTGATCAGAGTCGGACAGTGGACTTCGTACATTTCCACACTTTAGTCCTGCATCGTGTGTGAGCCTTGGCAGTTTGAGCAAAACACTAAGTCGTAATAGTAACAAGGAAGTTCAACCCTTTGACTAATTACTTTCTAAAA